GGAAAAATACCCCAATGAGGGCAGAAAGCACAGCACGAAACTCGATCTTTACAGAGTGGCAAGTATCAATATTTTCCCCCGTTGTTCTAACAGCTTCCCATACCCGTTTAGATATTTCTGGACCTAAATCAGGATTCACTCTAGTGATCCATTCGGCATGATTATTCTTGAATTCATACCTATGTTTCAATTTCAAACAACGAATGTGCTCAAAAAGCAATAATCAAGAATGCCTGACATCTAGCACGATTATGAGAAATGTGAATGTTATTGAAAGTTTTAGGATTCTTTGCACCTTTGGAGCAACCTCATTGCACTAGAAAGGGCAGCCAGTGATGCTATATTATACTGAGGATCTCCATCTCCCACATTCATGAATTTTTGCAAGCTTGGTACTTTATCCTTCACGTAGTCCCCAAGGTCAACGTGCTTTACAATATGATCTGAATAGGCAAAATGCTTAAAATGGCAACTGATCTACTGCTAAACAAATTGATTCACATTCTCAAAGAAATTGAATGTTAAATGCAGCAAAATAACAGAATTCTTAGTTTGCACGAGACAGAAATTCTAGTTAATGAATATAAGTTTCTATTAAAAGACTCAAGATTAAAGAATATGTAATTTTAGGGGCCTTTACACTCCAAAAGGAATTCCACAGGTAAAATTGTATGGATTTATCTGCTACACAGACTGCAGGTAGAAAAATCAATCTTACCCCCAAAGAGCTTCTTCACTGATTTTATAAGAACTTCAGTTGTTCGATTGCTCGGAATGCCTGACAGGGAGAAACAATCCTCCGGAATAATAACCTGGATTGGTTTGATAGGATCCGCTATAGGCAAATGCAGCAGGACATGCCCAACGCGACTCAAAATCGAAGGATCCCTAGCAAACCATCCTATATGATAATTAGATGTCAAAAAGAATGTCTCACCAAATTAAAGAATTCTATAGATGGATTTTCCTTCAGAATCTATGATTTAAAAGTACCAGATATTATCAGAGAAGTCATAGTCTCGTAGTTAAATGAAAGGCTGAGGCCTCAGAGCTGACTACTTTGAAATTTTGAGGCCCTCAACCCCAATATCATTACTATCAGAAAAAATATGCAAGATCAATTCAATCCACCAACTAACAGAAAGTAGTCCTTACCTACTGTATCAAAACTCTGTGACATAGGAATAACTCCAGCAGTAGAGACAACATCATGTGAAGGTCGAAACCCGAGAATTCCACAATAAGATCCAGGGACTCTGACACTTGCTCCAGTATCAGTTCCTACGAAGACACAAACAATCTACTTCAACAAATTTAAAGACAAACCAAGAAACCCAAGATCCCTTCCAAGAAGGAAAAGCCCACCTAGGGAGAAATCTACAAGCTTTGCTGCTACTGCAACAGCAGATCCACTTGAAGATCCCCCAGGTACCCTATCTGGTGCACATGGATTCCTGGGTGTCCCATAATGTTTATTTTCTCCAAATATACTGAAAACAACAAAAAGTTCCCTTTTTTCAACAAAGTATAACATCCACAATCATATAGCAGAGATTCAGACAATGGTAAAGAAGTGGTGACCCGTATGCCATCTCATCCATTACAGTTTTGCCAACGCAGGTGGCACCTGCACCTAAGACAGACAACACAGCCGGCGCCGTTGAAGTGGCGGCCTGATGGGTCCTTGCCCAATCAGGGTTTCCAAACCCAGTCACGTATCCATTCACATCAAATCTTTTGCAAGTCAAAAAATTGGAGAGAATTAATAGTCAAAAAATTGGAGAGAATTAATAGAAACAAAGAAGAAAGCAGATAATTTCTCCATGAAATCTACGAGTTCGGAGCTTGATATGAAAAAGAAACTCACATGTCTTTAATAGCAAAAGTGAGGCCACTTAAGGGCAGTTGATCGGATGAAGAGGTTGGATGAAGAGTAAATTTCTCCATGAAAGCTCCAAAATCCGAGCTTTTAGCCATGGCTGCCATTTCTTCTTCTGGGTGACGAAGAGTTCAGTTTCAGTGTATTTTCTTGAGCAGATAAGTGGAGCATAAGAGGAAAAAGCTAAGCATCATGTCGTGAAATTAAAATGTTCATTTTGGTGAAATCACCGTTTTACCTCTTTCTTTCTTATTATGGACAGTTCAATTATCTAGTTTAAGAAGGATCAAGATGACATCGCATGGTTGGATTTGTCCAATCCTCCTGTGTCTAGACCTTTTTAACTGGCTGTTACGTGTTTTTTTTACTGACTACTTTGTGCCCAGTTACATCAGACGCTTGCTTTTTTTCTTGAAAAGACAAAAAAGGCCCTTTTCAACTCGCTATGTCAGTCCACTATCACCGATTACACTAAGTCAGTACAGCAAACAGACTGACAATACCAGTAATCAGATAATGGTCTCAGCGTTAAAGAAAAATCGTCGGAAATGAGTGGGGGGAGTGGAGCCTCGGAGGACTGAAGGGTAATGATAAGGTTAAAACTCTTTTTT